GTCATAAAGTCACAAGTTTCTACGATAAAATTTCGCTTAATGTTCAACATTTGTCATTTACGAGGTTTAAAACTATATTGAAACAAAAACTTTACACTAAATACTTTACTCTAAATTCTGGGTACTTGGATGGCAAAAATCCATGGTAGCGACCCGGTTAGTTCTTGCCGGTTGTCTTGACCTAAAATATTTGAAATAAATACAAATGTTTATTTACAAAGAGCAACCACTAGAGTTTCTTACTCATTCTACTCAGAAGAATCTGCTTACGAATGAGTAGTAGAGTTTAATCAATGTGACGATTTTAAGAGTAATTAAAATTTTGAAATGAAAGTTTTAGTTTCAAATCCAGTAGTTTTAAAGTTAGTTATTATTTGTTTTAGGAAGAAACTTTTTGAAAATAAAATTTTCATTTGTGTAAAGCCGCTGCGATTACAGATTGCAATATATTCTGTCAAAGTAAATAGAGAGACTTAAATCGAGATTTCGAACGACAATGACTTGTTGATTGTCGTTGAATAATAAATACCACCCCATGAATATATTAACAGAGGTCTCAATCAAACAAGATGAGTTGCGTCGACGCACCTGTCACTAAGCGCTAAACGCTGTCGAATGATCGACAGACGGGCTAAATAAACTTGCTACATCTCTTTATTATGACGTGCTAATCCTGGATTAACGGCAAATGTTAACACATGTTCCAAGTTACTAAAAAAATATTAACAATCTAGAAATGACCTTACACTCAATAAAATAATAATTAAAACTCGACTGTAACGTTCAAATATAGGGTGTAAATTGGTTTGCCGGGTGCGGAGGTGATAGAATTGGCTGGATTATCGAGGGTAGCTAATATTATTCCGGGGCGTTCGGTGTTGCCTTTTCATCCGCTAAGTATAAACAGGGGGGTGTGTTCGCAGTGTTTGATCGCGTTCGGCCGCGCCATACCAAACGATTGATTTACTTTCTCCGACAGTTATATTGGAATAATATTAACTGCCCTTATTATTATAATAAGCTCATTTCTTGAACTTGTTTACCCCATTCAATTACTTAGAGAATTATGACAGCTTAAGTTTCTTCTTTGACACACAATGAGTGTTTATGAATGATTTGTAGCATTCAATTGCGAATAATATTGTGTAGTAAATAATTGGAAAACATTTTAAAATTTAAGTAATAGTGCAAAGATATGAGATCAAAAGCATGCGGAGGTAGATGCGGATGCTGCGCGAGCCAGAGTTGAGCGAACTGGCTACAGTCAATATTTGTGCGCCCAGTCCGGCTAATGAATACAATTAGATCATTCCGCGCGGCCTCACGTTTTTCATACGCCCGTGGCTCGAGGGTTCGCCCTCCAACAACGTGTCAAATAAAGACGCCGCCACATCGCTGTGACCCCTACCTGCCTCTGTACATAACGCCGGAGCCCGTAGTCGCCGCTCGACAGGGCAAACATCCCAGCAGCGCGGTCTCGCGCAAACTTTGAACTTAAAACGTAAAATTAATTAAAACATTACCCTCCTCAACGAAGTTCAGCCTCACGGCAAAATTCTTTTAGGAAATAACCATTTATCTTTTTAGAATTCTTCATAAATTACAAATATATATCTGGCTTTAGTGAATTGGCTGTAGATTAAATAAAGAGTTTGATCGGATGATCACGTCGATTAGTGCGTGAAAAATTGCGCACAATCCCTCTACTTTCCGCTACGTTAGCTTCGCACTAAATATTTTTTACATTCAAGTGCCAAATAATAGGCTGAACACATGACGCTCCCCAAGCTAATTCGATGAGGAATGATCTGCGTGCGATGACTTGCAAGTTTGTGCTTGTGCATTGTCCTATTGAAGAAATAAATGTTTAATTGGGGACCGAAGTCTCTGTGTATGCACGAAGTCATGTTTTAGTTTAGCGTTCATTAGAATACCAAAGACGAAGTTGTCGGTGCAAGTTGTAGTAGCCGAGAGAAAGGCTGGTCGGGAGCACAACCCGTTGAATATATTAGCCGTGTTTGCTGTTTGCTCGCCACGACAGCGCGAGCGCCACATGGCGACGCAAACCGCTTGTTTATTTTAATACTCAACCATTGTTGCTTGCCGCTGTTTGCGCAGGGAACTATATTAAACTACCCTTTATGAATTTGTAAGGTGACTGTTGCTACAAAATGTCACAGTAAAGTTATGTAGTAAAATAATTTACACACGTTAAAAATATGCACATTGTACTGCAATTTAAAAGTCGAAAACATCATTTCAAATTTTTAAACATAGTACAGTACTGGTAATGGAACTATAATGGTAATGTCATTACCATCACGCAGGCCTGTGATTATTTAACAAATTTATAAAATGAATCTCAATAACTGTAATATTTATGAGTAACAGTTTTGGTATGATGCCCGTTGGCACCGGTTTACACGTAATTAACCGGTACAAGAATTTGGAAACTAAATTTGACAGCTGTATACTTGAATTAATTAATCTCATATTGTTTGCCTTCACTTTGATACCTTTCTACAATCCACATATTTTCATGCAGTAATATTTTTTAATTAGATTTAATTCGGCGATCTTCATCTAACAATACCTTATCGGTTAATGTGCCCAAAGATAGCATCTGCGAGTGTGCATCTCGTGTTTAATTACATTTGTCGTCGTCCCTTGCGTCCCGCCCGCCTCGTCGCCTGGGCCCCGCGTGTTCTCTCCGCCCAATTCGGTTCATTTGCAAAGTGCATTTCGATGCTGCGCTCGATTGTTCCGACCCCGAGCTTAATTGCCCACCCGTTATTTATTATTGACATTTGCTTGCACATATACTTGTATTTATCTACGATTGTATCTACTCCACCAAAATAGATCGGATTGTTTACATGAAATCTTCTGAAATGATTTCATCAATTCAAAGCAGCACGGTTACGATTTGGTTAAAAATTTGCGAAATATTTACATTAGTCGCACGAATCGCATTCGGTAAACATCGCAAGGAATTCCTCCAAACACATCGGCGGACGTTTATTTGCCGCGGGGCCACGCTCGGCTTCACTCCGACTTCGCATTCCGCTCGCCGTCGTATCGGTACTCATTTGTATTGGCGGTGGATGTTGTATTATTTGTTTGTTTGCGGATGCGGCAGACGTTGCCGGGGTTTTGATTTTTTCCAATCTGTAGGTAATGCGGAAGGCGTGCAGGTTGGAGCCAGCGGGGTCCGGAGCCTGCGGCCTGGGGCCGGGCCGGTGGCTGATCGCGAGCCAATCAAGCGAGCGCGTGTTCGTTAGTCGCCGGCGAGCTTGCCGCTTGGTTAACCCGGGCACGTACGTGGGACCTTTCCACTCGGAGGCACTGATTTTCTTTCAGATAGATCTAACAAAATGATGAACTTCAGCAATCTTCGAGTTCATTTACTGAACAAATGTAGCGCGAACATACATAAAATACACAACTCATAATATAGTTGTCGATTGTTATGCCTAGATTTTACAGTTCATGCATTTTACTATTACATAGAACTATCTACATTCTATTAATAACAGGAGCACCTTGAAATTTATAGGCGTTTTGCCCTAATGGCTAATTAAATCTTAATGAGGGATGTAGCCGGTGAATGTTAGTGAATAAATGTAGCCAATGAGGCTAATTCCAGAGTTTATGTGGGATCGGTATGTTATAATCATAATCGTGCGCTCACAACTGGCATTATATATTTTCATTTCAATGTCAATGCTTATAGTTTAGTAGTAATCCGAGATGCATTTGGTGCCTATTTATAGCCTTTATGTTAAATAATCAACAACTGTAACAGTTTCCTTTAGAAATTACGACTGAAAACAACTCATTAATATCCATGTTTTGGTCATAAATTGTAGCAACGATTGGCATTTTAGTTTTAACGGCTTAGTTTCTCTCATTATTTAACACAGTTTAAAAATTGGCAAATTAATGAAAACAATTTCAGCAATTTCTGAAAATGGACTCACCGTTGAGTTTTTTATATGTATTTATAAGTATGTAGATGGTCGTAAACAATTTGCAGAGTTTCTTACAGTAGTAGGTCATTAACGTTTGTTAAGATGACTGCGAAGACCAATTTACACGGATAATCCATCTATAGGCGTCTAATATTAGGAAGTAAACATATATGGTTGGAGGCTTAGTATTCTAAGGTTGGAGGTTATTTAAATTGTTTGGAATATTTTTTATTTTTCTAATCTCTCTATTCATGTTTCCAATTTCAAATTCAGAAGATTGAAAGTATTATAATGTTTTTCGTCGCTTTTATACAATAATGTAAATGAGAATTTGAATAATTTCGACAAGAGACGTACGGAAGCGTTCCACATTTGAATTCGTAGTAGGTACATATTTCAGTTGAACGTACATACCTGAAGAAGAGCAAACATCATCAGCACAAACTGCGATGAACAAACGGACGGTGGCGTGCGTATGATTGTCCCGGTTGTCGGTGGCACGAGTTTTTTTCCAAGCGCCGCCCAATCAGCGCCAGTGGCAGTTGCAATTATCGCTCGCACCAAATCGAATTATGATCAATTCCGATTTGCGCGCATTCGAACGAATATAAAACGGTTTGCATTAAAATTTGGCGCGAAATGCAAGGGATGCGTTCCCATTAGTCGGGTCGCGCGCTAACTTTGTTTACTCATTGGGACCCGCGTCCATTCCTGGCATTTTCATTGTGTTTTTTGTTGTTTTTAATTTTGTTTACGATGCTTTTCGCTTCATTGGCGTTCTGGTTTTAATTTACATTCACAATATACCAATATGTAAATTTATTTGTGTTACGCTATTTCGATTGGTATTTATCAAGAAACATTTTAGTGTACGAGTATGTAAGTTGAAATAATTTAATCGACTATTTAGAAGTAATCTAATTTCATCGACTATAGTGAACATCCTTCAGGTACTCAAATACATTGTATAAGAACTGAATTTTAAACATCTCCAATGACGAGTTAACGATAAAAGTTTTATATTTTCAGGTATGGTTTCAAAACCGGCGAGCGAAATTTCGTAAGCAGGAGCGCTTAGCGCAACAGAAAGCAGGCGAGGCTCCAGTTAAAGCCGAAGGCAAGCGTGATAAACCCACGTCTCCCGCGCCATCGCCGCACCCTATACCGCCTGCGCCCGCGCCGCAGCCCGCGCATCATGCACTCCCGCACCTCTCCCCGCCCGATCTCAAACCCATCACCAATGCAGGTGAGGACAACAGAAGAAGATGCCAAGCAGCTAGTCTTCTTTTTTGTGAGTCAATATTTGTAACATGAACGTCTACTAGAAAAACAGACAGGGTGTTATCTTAAAATGCTCAGATAGCGTCTCGTGGAAAGTACATTTTAAGTTTTTTATAGAAACTGTGTACTCTGAAAAGAAATTACTTTTATCAGAAAATCCAGAAACAACTGCTGCTCCACACAAAAAAAAGCCAACATTTGATATTTAATGGCACTAGGGGTAGAGTTCTCGGTCTGTGCAAATAAAACCCACTAGGATATAGGTATAATATATAACCACCCTACCTATTACTACCGCAAAACAGCACTGCAGCAGGAAGAGCTAATTCAAACAGCCAAGATAACGCATTTACAATATTAGGTTCAAAACCCTATTACAATTTTTAAATTAGTTTGTAGCAAGTTATTTTTAATTTATAAAATGTAGGCAGTTACAGTTAATATTTCCAGAAATAAACCCATTTCAATATTTTTTAACTTTGAACATAATTAAACGGAAAATCTAACTTCTTACCTATTTCTACGAATTTCGGTGAGTTCACTGTTATAAGTAGTCATAATAAAATCAGGCCGTGTTGCCGTAAATTTCCGTAAGTGCGTGATAAAGTATTCGGCGCGTATCTCTAATTTTACGATTAAAATAACTGCGCGAGCCGCGAGGGCGCAGCACCCTAAAGAAAATGGCCACAGCTTTTCAGGGAAATCGTTCAGTGACAAACAAAACGACTTCGATAAACGTTAGGTTGATTTGTTCAAGTATATACAAACATTTATATTTTTGTCTCTGAAGAGGTGCATATACATATAACTACATTATAAGTACGTTCTACGTTATTTTTATGATCATCACCATCCCATTTATTCGTCTCACAGCTGGGCACGGGCCTCCTCTCAGGCGAGGGTTTAGGCTACATAGGTCCAGTGCGGGTTCGGCACTTGACACGTTTTCCGACGATTGTGAACCTTCATCGACGTGCAGGTTTCATCACGATGTTGTTTTCATTCACCGAAAAGCTCATGATAGAATAAAATTAAATATCTTACTTAAATTCCGAGAAACTTACAGCTGCGAGTCTCAATTCGAACTCACGGTCTCTGCTAGACCTGTACCAGACCGGTAAGGACCGAAAGGAGGAGAGGGAGCGATCCTAGTTAGTTCAATCGGTCAACGAACTAGGACGGTCTTCTAGTTTATTCCTTAGTTCGTCTTGCCCTTGCTCGGACATTGAACGGACGCTCCAAACTAGTTATTTTATTCACATGAACTACTATGGACTTCTAGTATTATGAGTTCAATAGTACACTGTACCAAATATTTGAACATACAATTTGTATGGAAACGGTGCTATTTGATTTTTCTTATATTTTACAGATTTAAGACTGTCATTCTAAATATATAATCTTTTTTTACAAAATTGGAGGCAATGTTGAGTCGTGCATCCCACTCGAACTTGTACTAAAAAAAGTGAAAGATCGCTAATTGTCCCACTCGTACAGCTCTAACTGAATAAATGACAGGTGAACTATCAAAGCAGACAGTTCCTAGTTTGTACTGAACTAAAAAGACCGATGAACTAAGACCGTGCAAGTCGAACTGGTTCATGTCGGTCAGTGTCAGGAATATATTCCTAATAGTTTGTAGTTCATGAACTATACAAGCCTAGCCTCTATTTGAGAGGCCGTAAGGCAAACCATTAGGCTACCGCGGCTTTTCTTTAGGTTATCTAATTTTTATTTAATTTTATATTATTATTTAAGGAAGTGAAATGATACCTTAGTCCTCGTTTGGTCCCGACCGTTATTTCTATGTATGCCAGATGAGGAAGTCTCAGGTATTTTATAAGTTTGATTACTGGTAGAACACATTTCAGAAACGATTTTGTTTTTAATTGGTTCTGGTTTGGGTTTCGTGGGTATTGCCACGGAGTTGTTTTCGTTCAGGGAATACAGAGAAGTCCTTAATTTGAGACTAGGTAACTGGTGTGATGCGTATTATTAGTAACAGAAACAGGCTCAAAATATTAACTGATGTGAAATTCGAAACCCACTGAATCGAAATCTTTAAAAATAATCTAATGGACTTACGCATCAGTATCACATATCAAGTGGTAGTTTAATGATTTCATAACACAAAACTTTATTTAAAAGTTAATTGTTCATTGGCTTTGCTTTGTAGTGAATGAAGTAATTTTTATTTTAGAGAGATTATTTTGGCAATGGAAGAGACGCGCTCACTGAAAAATGAGCATTTTCTCTTGTCACCCTCACTGGTTCGGTAACTTGTAGCGAATTATCGAGAACGCTAATTGGTGACAAGGTTCTAATTAATGAGTTGACCTTAGGTAAAAATACACTTTACTTTAAAATAAAAAAAGTTCATCTCTGCGTTGAAAATTGGTGTTACAAAAATTTACCGATTGCATTTACAAACCAGTTACAAACTAAAATAACTGAACTGGGTAGATACTACATATATTCGCTTAGCACATACAAGTGTGCAAAATATTTTACCTTTTTGCTTTTATTTTTAAAAAGATTCTCCTCTATATTATTATTTATGTTGACAAACGTGTGCAAAATGATAAAAACCGACAACTACCAAGGGTTATTGTATTTTCATACCACAAAATAATATTATGGTCCCACCACCAGAAGCACACGCTTTTGAATATGTTCTCAAGAGTAAACAAAATATTTCAATTTCAAGCGATTACTAAATAGCACATGATTTGTTGAAAAAAAAATACAGTTGAGTATTTTTGAAACCTCGAATCGTGATGTCATAGTTTATATTTAGACATCATATCATCCGCGGAATCTTCTGTGTTGTTACATTGATCGCCGAAATTATAGCAGAGTGAGTCACTAAAGTGTATTCGACCAGTAGCCGTACCGATCGAGTTATTTCTACTTTCCTACATACGTAGGCGCATAATAAAATAAGACTGATTTTGACTAAATGACATTCGGAATAGTAAGTTTTAAATATAGTGAAATTTGTGACGACAGACAAGCCGATGAGAAGTGTTTTTTATTTATAGGACAATGGAATTTAGGTTAAGTTTGATTCTGTCCTTTGCCAGGTCACATAACTCGGTATTACCTAATCTTATTTGTGAACTGTTTTATTATTTCGTTGTTAGATAGTCCCACACTATAATACAGTACATTAATTCTTATTGGATTCAAGCAAATTATTGCTAAAATGATTGATGATTGAGATGAAATTTACGGGAGAAGCAGAATGAAACTTCTTTACAGGAGGATTTATCTTTTTAGCCTGGGGTAGGGAGTCTTACCTTTACTAACTAAGTATAATGTCAGAAATGCAATATAGAGCGTTGTTGGGATGGGCGGCTAATGGCAACTTGCGGGCGCATTAATCACATTACGTGCCCGCACCCGCCCGCGCTTGCCCGCGCCGCCGCAACCGCCAGATTTTCACTTCGGCTCATTTGCGCTAATTGTGCGCGCGATTGTCACTCAGGTCTGAATAAACAACCGAGCAGCGCGGCAAGGATTAGGTGATTAGCTCTTAATTGTGTTACCACGATTATTCCATATTCACCCACCCGCCGAGCTGCAGTCTGATTTCATAATCGGGCAGATTTGTATACAAGAGTTTATATGTGCTTCTATGTTTGATGCTGCAATTTAGGTGGCAACTAATTCGTTTGAACCTTCCGTCTTTTTGTCTACAAAAGAAAGACAATTAAACGTTCTGTGATTTATTTTGTTTTATAGGTAACAAATTGTGTGACGAGATCAATGGAGTTGATGGGGGTGGAGGAGTGGGCGCGCCGCCTGTGAGCGGAGCTGGTGGCAAGTGGGCCGGTGGGTGCGGCCTGCTGCGTCAAACCTCAGGGTTTCCACTGTTGGGAGTAGCCCCTCCTAACTATCTGCTCTCCGACCACCTCGGGACCTTGGCCAAAACGAACAATCACCTTTTCTAATGGGTGTAGCTGTCGCCTTGAGTCACCGGTGTAACTGCACGCCGAGTCTCCAGCGACCAAAACACGCGTTAAACCTCATGTCCTTACAACACATTTTTAGTGCTCGCGCGAGACCTAATCAGTCATTCGAGTTAAACGAACATTCCAAGTTGCATTCCAGAAAGTGAGTGTGTTCCCTAAACGAGACTGCAATGTGACTAAAACGAGTGAAGAAAGATTAAAGTGCCAAATGTTTGTGTCCATTAAAATATCGCAATAACAAACTTTTAAAGAATGTTTTAGATGTATTTATTGTACAAACGTGCGTTACATTTCGTACAAGGTTGTACTTATTAAAATTGTTAAAATAAGACGATGGTAGATATTAATAATAGAGGTTATAATCAAATACGTGTGATAATGTTTGTAAATAAACATTCCATGAAATTGTATACGTCTACCCAAGTATACTCGTTTAGATTCTTAAATTGAGAGTGAAAGCTTAACGTGCTATAATTGAAATAAAAATATAATACATTTTCGGGACGATGTGTTTTTGAATTGTACAAATTATCTTCAATAGCATTATAAGTTTTTTGTTACGTGTCGTACGTAGTCTCCTGGTTTGTTACGCAACGAAAATACTTATTTCTTTTCAGTTTAGTAAGCATAGTTTTGTTTTGTGTACTTAAAGCTATTTCTTGAATTAGAGAATTTGAAATACGACTTCTTCTATGCGCTACTATTTTGATGGTGCACGTGTAGAGTGGGACAGTGATGTAAATATGTATCAAATTAAATTGTAAATAAACATAGTGATGTACCCTGAGTGTATGTAAAATTACGAGGAATTTGTGAGGGGTGTTTTAATAAAGAGCGTATTACAGTGTCTTTTTGGTTTTTATTTCGTTGTTCTTTGTAGGGTTAATGCGAATGTAAGATGTTAAGGAATTGATATTGTTAAATTAATGGAATAATACATTATGTAACCTCCCAAGAATTCGTAAATAATTTTAACTGCCTCTGTGGCCGAACGGTTACCATGCCAGACTGCCACGCAGAGGTCCCAGGTTCGATTCCCGGGCCGAGAGAAATATTTATATGGCTTACATTTATTTCTCTCGTGAGTTTGGGTGTAATTTGTGGTTGTCTATGTGTGTGTCCATAGCACCCGCGACACAGGGTTTCCCTAGTGCGGGGCTATGTTGAGTGTGTGCGTTATTATTATTAAAAAAAAATGAAGTGATTCAGACCCGACAATTACGAGATCCTATGATCTCGTAAACGCCTAGTGTGCATTAGAATGAAAATATCGCATTCCAATTTAGCGCTTTATACAAATATATACAGCGCTAAATTTTAATGCGATATTATATTAGGTTTTTCACTGAGAGCATACTGCATGAAGCATACATATAATTATGTTTAGTAGGTACATTGGGCATTTTCCCATTGTAGTTTGCTGGGTCTTAGGTAGTTAAAAGCTTTTTATAAACAACAACAAAATCAAAGTATTTACAAAATGGAAGGCCAATACTGTGATAAAATAATACAATAAATATATTATGGATAATAAGTGTTTTGATAGACATTATACTCATTTCGTTGGCTATTCGATTGCAAAGTTATTTTGTTGATATACACTTTTAAACTTTCTGATTACGTTGTATCTACTAACATTTGAAAACGAGACTAAACACGTTTAAAAATTTTAATAGTTTCGGCAAGTTTGCACTGGCCATGCTCACGGACTACGCGAGTACGGCCCGTATAACCTGACCAAAATGCCGGGAAAATAGGTGGGTGTGAAAATAAGCTATTAAATTGGATAAAGTTTTTTTTATTGATATTAAAGGCATTAAATTATTGCAGTTTAATACTGTAGAATATGTAGCACCTCGCGTCTTTTATCAATTGTTATTTTTGATTCAAAGTCAGGACAAGGTGAACATTTACATATATCACCTGCTGTCGCCTTGCAATGTTCTTGAAATATTATTAGAAAACCACTTCAAGGAAATATTAAATCGACGAAAGGAAGTGCATGTATAATAAACTGCCGACCTACTCCATCTATCGTTTAGATTTACAACCTTCTCATTATTTCTACTGATCTTTCTTAATGATCATTACACAGGAAAATATACTAAGCAATCTATCAAATAACAAAAAACTATTTAGAATTACTTTTCTCGTTTACAGTATATATTGTATTAGTTCCACTTTATATTCGTCTTAATATTATTACGATTTTAAAGAGGTAGAGGTTACTACCTTCCATCAGGTGGCCTGTCTGACTGATTGCCAACTTCAATAAAAAAAAACTAGAATCAACGGACAGTGTGTCAAACAAAACTTGCAAAGTCACAAATACCTATTACTAAATATAAGCCATCTACAAGTAGTGGTCACCACTCAGCTATTTTCTCATCGGTCTCATTAATTCTGTATACTTTAACAACATAAGTATTTACCTATATTTGAATCGACAGTGATTTTTTTGATGCTAGTACTAAAATATAATAAAATTATAAAAGAATACAGAAACAGTTGCTGATTTTGAAAACACTATCTCTTGTAATTTCGTTAGAAGCAAAGCAGTTGTCAAGATTGAAAAATGGTTTCTACGAGTATGCGAAGGAAAAGACGACGTAAGCGTACACATATTTTGGCATTGCCAACTCATAACCGCCTACATCCAAAGCTGGACATTGTCAACATTCAAAGAGCGCGTGTCGTAGCCGTGACGTGTTTGTTGATTAGGAAACTATTTTAATAAGAGACTGTTTTTAGAGATAATATTTTTAGGGACTTCTTATGTAGAATAATAGCAGCCAGTAAAATATACAAATATACTCGTAGACGTGCACATAACTACGCCATAAGACCCTACGTCTGTAGAATCCATTGCTAATATACATAAAATAGTACATATTAAAATAGGTACGCTATAAAAAGTGAAGTGTGTATTAAACCTATACAAAATACATAAAATGCGATCAAGTTTGTTAGAAGTCACAGTTGTAAGAAATAAAGGTTGAACAAACCTAATCAAAAATGTCTGATGTTATTATAGGTGAATTTTTACATAAAAACAAAAATAAATCTAAATTTAAAAGCAAGAGGAGTATAAATAAAAATTTCGTGTTTCTGAAAGTTTGTATTAAACGTACGGAACATTTTATGTGTGTAGGAGAGCATGAGGCCGTCCGTGTCTGCGCGTGGGCACACAGCCGGCGACAATGATATCTCAAAGAAGCACGCTCCGTCACCCTTGCCGTTGTGGCTGTGGGCGGGCGCTTCGTTATAAAGCCCGCCTTATGCCTAGTGCCTTTTAAGGTAATTCGTGGGCATCGACGCATTTTAGTTATTTTCATTAGGTGCTTAAATGTCAGTAATAATGAGTTACAATAAGCTAATTAAAGTATCTTTTAAACTTATAATAAAGCATACCTATTTCTGCCGCCAATGTGAGCATTACTGCGTTCCGTTCCGGTTTTCAAAGGTATGGATGCTGGTGAAACTACAGGCACATGAGACTTTACGACTTATATCTCAGGACGACGGGTGCAGTGGCAGTGCCCCTCAGATCTTTGTGATTTAAAGCTCTTATTGGCATTGCCACCGTTATGGATAGGCTTTTCTTATTATCAAGCACACGGCTTGTTCGACCCATCACTTGAGATAATGAAAAAAAATTTGTTACTCAGGGTGTCGCTGATGCAGGTTTTTTACACATCAGCAGATGCTGATTGATGTATTTAAAAACGCAAAAATGTATATCCTTACTGAATTTATCTACATAAAAAGCTTTCTACTTTCTTTGGTTTACAATACCAAAGATAATATATATTAAAAACAAGAGCTGAGCTGCTTTTTCGGCTTACAGCCTGTATCTGGAAGGTTTTTTATAAATTATTCCAGCGTGCCTTTTAGGTCATGTCAGGACTCGAATATCCTCAATGAATATCAGCATCGATGAATGGCGATGCTGATGTGGATGCAGATATCAAAATTTGTGCAGATTATCCACGGATGTTGATGCTGATATTCTCAACAATTCTGGTCTTACTAAAGTTTCTTGGTGTTGTAAAAAACTAACATCCAAATAAAATACATTTCAAAGACATTTTTGCCGTTACACATAAGTTTGAAGTACATAATGAAGACATGTAGAGAGTGAATCTCGTTGCTCTGGTTCTCATAGCACAGGAAATTCCCTATTTTGAGACCAGGTCATTAGTGTGGTTGTCTGGCACTTTATTACTGTAGATTAAGCAGTGATGAAACGCTTTACAATATATTACGTATCTTCATCTAGTATTATTTCTAATTCGTAGTCAAATTTTCGTAATTCAGAGGTGTTGAATTTTACTAATAACAATGTAATCTACATATGCTTATTAGCAGTGTCATGTACAGAATTCGATGAAACACATATTACATGCCGTGGGCTAACCAGATTTCATTATCGTAAATGTATCATCCGTTAACCTTCAATTAGTTTCTTCAACAAGAAACAATCGTAACAAAACATTGATTATTATGTTTTATTTATTTAGGACAATCAACGAGTTGACATTTAATAAATAAATTTGATATTACACAATACAAATAAGTATTTAAGTACATATACTGCTATTATACATTTAATTATATAATATTTTATAATACGTAACCTAAGATTACGTACGTATAGAACGCAATGTGCAGAAAAATAGGAAGAAAAATATTAATCGGAATAAAGGCATCAAATTATATCATTGCGGAAAAAACATTTATAAAAATAAATTATATTAAATATTCACAAATCGCAGGTAATTAACGAATAGGTACTTCAACTATAAATTGTAAAAAAATAATTGATTGAAGTACTTAATTATTAGAGAAGTTTGAATAAAGGCTGTTGAGTCAGCGGCTTATTCCGTCGGGCCCGTCATCGGGTGCGCGGTATGTTATCCAGAAGGGCGCAGTCTGCGCACGCGCATATAAATACACCGAGTAAGCTTTCTGGAGTTCAGTTTACCGAAGCTACCAGCCGCGCTATCACTCGCAACCTCGGCTTCACACACAGCACACAACATGTCTCTGGAACGCCAAGTCCGCGCTAAGGTCAGAATGCATTACGTTTGAATTACTATTTTTTTTTCCAATTACACAAAAAATTTAGTTCTCCCTACAAGAATCATGTTATTGCCATAAAGTGCGCTTAATTATACTACTGACTTAATATTTCCAAAACTCCATTCTCGCCATTTCTTAAGCAAAAAAATCGCAAGAATCTAGAAGAAACATTTCCAAGGAGACAACCTTATGCATTGACCTTTATATGTAATTCGTATCAACAGCTCGCATCCAAGCGCAACCCCGAGCAGGAGAAAGAAGCCCAGGAATGGATTGAGGCCGTCCTCGGTGCTAAGTTTCCTCCTAAAGAAGCATTTGAGGAAGTACTCAAGGACGGAACCGTCCTTTGCCAGCTCATTAACAAGCTGAAACCCGGCTCCGTCCCCAAGATCAACACCTCTGGTGGTCAGTTCAAGATGATGGAGAACATCACCAAGTAAGTTCTAATTTAAAATGTAAGCATTCTCGGTATTATAGAACCTTGTAAGCTGAATTTTTAAACTAACTTTGTTTTTATTTTATTTAAAAAAGGAAATACGCAAAAAATTTGGTCTTCGTTAAGGCTTAAACCTCCAAACGTTTTAAACAGTGAATTGTTCTCCCACAGTTTCCAAGCAGCGATTAAAGCGTATGGTGTCCCAGACATCGACGTATTCCAGACTGTGGACCTTTGGGAGAAAAAGGACATCGCCCAGGTCGTCAGCACACTCTTCGCCCTTGGCCGTGAGGTAAGCACTCCGATCACTTAAACCATCAACCACACAGATTCAAGTGTATCAAGTGTTAGGTGATGGATTCATCTTACTCTTTAGATAAAATTTTAGCACCTTTATTTTAATTCAATCGCTACCATTTTACAAGAACTAACTAATGTAGATCCATTACCCAAGATAGTTTTCTTTATATTCATACCTTATCGTTGTATAAACGTATTAAGGTGCAACATACATTATATTATAGCTATATTAAGTAGCCCATCTTTGCGTTATTCGTAAGTTTACAGTTTTCTATTTCTATCCTTGTATAATAAACAAACAAGAACGGGCAATGCGTTTGAACGCAATAGCGTGTTAACACTGTTTGCCTGATAGTTTCGTATTCGAAGTTGGACGTTTGCCAGGTTTAGCCAAGATTTACGACCTACATGTAACGTTACCTCAGTTTTCATAAATATCCAAGGTCACGTAATTCTGTAGAGGCCGAGTGGGGACACACTCTCTGCGCAGCAGTATCTTGATGATTGATGGACCTGTTTATTTTTCTTAGACCTACAGACACCCTGAGTGGAACGGCCCTTACCTTGGTCCCAAACCATCCGATGAGTGCAAGCGTGATTTCTCCGAGGAGGTGCTGAAAGCTGGCCAGACCGTGATCGGTCTGCAGGCTGGCTCCAACAAGGGTGCCACACAAGCCGGCCAGAATATCGGCGCTGGCCGCAAGATTCTGCTCGGCAAGTGAATGCCTTCACACCTCTCATCAAGTGATATTAATATAAGATATTTTTGTACAAAACTCAGTGCACGGACGCTATTGTAAGACTGTATTTGTACCACTGTGAAATCTAGTCAAGATGTGTTAGCCATGTCTGTACTGTAGAAAATGATAGTCTTGTGTTTCCATGTAGCGCCGAGATGGTTTTTGTACACAAGTGTTTAGGCTAAGTTATATGTATATTTATCTATTTCCAATTTATTAATTTATTCTATAAAACAATATACCTTGGTATATCAACAGCATGCTTCGTTTTAATTACCTTCACTATGAGGTCGGAAAGAATCTTTCTTATACGAAATCATAACTTAATAAAGTTTCAGTAAAAACCGAAGGATAATAGGAGTTTAATGTCCCAGCATTACGTTTCAAAAAGTTTTGCTTGGATTACGCCGAACAATAAATCATACTTTAAGCATTGAAATAACTCCCAACATTGCTTTTATAAAAAGTACATTAAATATACATTCAAAGTGCTAAATAAAGCTAGGATCGCAATTCACAATAATAGTCACAAAAAGAAAACTCAGATCGTTTTATCGAGTCATTTCATTTAAAATGTATATTATTTTCGAGTTACGTATTAGTTAATTTTTTTAGGCTTGAACTCTAAAAGCTAAAATACCGTTGATTTCATTTCGCTGGTCAACCGTCAAAGAATTAGGTAAAATAACAACAAGTGCATAATTTGGAGTAATTTTCTAATTATTTCATATAATTAGTTCATTCAAAACTACAATGCCATAATTAGGTATACACCATAAAATATATTTAATGCGCTAACCTAAGTTTTATCATTTAATTCACGTAGTACAGTACCCACACCCCGTACCGTCGTTGTCAGTAACCTGTAACAACTTACAACGAAAGGATTTCTTTTATCAATGTTTTTCTTGTAGACAGATTTTTTTTATGATATCAAGCAACGAAACGAACAAGTCGTGCGTCTGGTGTTCAGGGACACGCCTAACGATGAGAGTTGCAATGCCACGTTTAAGTCGCAAAGATCTGAGGGGCACTGCCACTGCGCCGTCACCCTGAGACATAACTTGATAAGTCCCACATGCCTGTAATTTCATCAGCATCCTTACACTTCAAAACCGAAATGTTGTAATGGTCACATTACTGCTTCACGGCAGAAATAGGTAAGGTGGCTGTACTTTCCTGGAGGAACTCTTTCACTAGGAGTTGTACTCCTACTTGATGATTATGTATATATGTATATGTTAAGTGCTTGAGTAGGCTTTTAATTTGTGGATTCAAAATGTATAACAACAGTGTCGAAATGTAAACTACACTATAACACCGACATCAACAATCAGGTAATCCGTAAAAAGGCTTTTGCTGTGAAAACTCTTTGCGTAGGCATAATATCATCATCATTGCTGGGTGGTGACTTCACCCATTGCTGGGTATAGACCTCCAAGTTTCTGTGCCACTCCTCACGATGCCGTGCTAATCTCGTCCAGGTTCGCCCCCCAATTCCTGCGATATCATAATATACCTACATAATAATCGTTTAATATTACGAAAGCTTTCAAAACAATCTTCAATGATTAAAGTATGAAATTGCCTTTCTAAAGTTTTGGCCACTTTGAAATGGAGTCTATTTAATCTATTTAGATGAGAAACATTTCAGTTAAAACTTAAAACAAATTCTTAAATCTTCTAAATTTAAAATTTATATTATGCATTTGTTTTCGCTTCGGTTAGTTTCAAATTCGCTTGCAAATGTGGATAGTGCTGTAATTCGAGTTATTTTTGAATACGCGTGAGTTTCGACGTGGATGTATTAACATTGCAAACGACTCGAAACATTAACATCTGTATAAAGCGGACACAATTAACGAAAGCACTATACTGTTTTTGGTTTGCCCTATTCCGCCAGTGGAAATTTTAACCTGGCAAATGAACCTCAAGAACGACCGGAGCTAATGGTGAGTAATGACAGCTTGCGGCCTATTCGCAACTTTCATAAGAAAAAGTCACAAAAATAATACGAACTATATGAAATAAATTCGGTATATGTGAAATTTTATAATTGATTTATTTTAATCATAATTAAATGAAACTACATCAGTGCACATTGACTTCACTTATAAAAAAAAATTACTACAGTCCACTGTATATTGGAAACAAACAGGTACCCTATGCAAATACCGCCAAATATCTCGGTATGACCCTTGACGTGAAACTACGCTGGAAAGCTCATATCAAGAAGAAAAAAAAAGGATTAGATATACGTTTTAAGGAAATGTATTGGGTATTTGGTAAATGCTCTTCGTCATTTATTTTGTGAGCAATAAAATATTATGATATAAACAGGACCTTATGCCAGTGTGGACCTATCGTATCCAGCTCTAGGGCTTTGCTCCTAAAAGCAACATATAGACAAAAACAAAGCTTCAAAAAGAAAGTACTGAGGACAATAATTGTGGGGGTTCCTTGGTATATACGAAACGAGGATCTGGATCGCGATTTGGGTATAAAGCCCTGTTCAACTTTGAACATCATGTATTTAACAACAAAACGCAAGATCGTAACATACATTTAATCTGTCACAAGAAATGGCCTCATCATCAGGCAACAAGTGCAACATAGTGACATAATTCACTACTAAACAAAAAAGAGCTTCGTTGTGTATTCATTAATTATGTATTTAGTCATAAAAATGTATAAATAGTAATCAGATTTATAAATATACTCAGTTATCCACTACCATCTGATTTTAACTCATCAAACTCATCATCCTGCTTAATACTATCCGATACTCTCCTCTCCTCGCACTGTGGCCAAGACACCTTTAGCCATCAGTAGATCGGTCTTGTGAGTCTGCTTGACCGGCAGTGAGAATACCATTCCAGTACACATTGCACGACGTGTACTTCCTTACCTCCTTCCAACCTTCCGTTTGTCACCTTAGGTCGCATAGTGACAGACTTATCTTGCATATATATTTCTCCGTTTATGTATTTATGGTTAGGTTAGGCTACACACCGTTAGCTTGTAGGGCTACACTATTAGATAAATTCAATGGAACGATCCTCAAGGTCTCACCGTTGGGGTTAATAGGGTAGTTTATATTTTTATCTTAACTTTATCACAATTTCATGCACAGCAGGCGGTTGGTATTTGCTGCATATAACACGACACACTAATTGTCAGACAAGCACTACCACCACATTACTACCACATTGCTAACTGCAAGCTATTCATTTTTAGTCCTTCGAGTTTTAAATTGAACCTGCCGTGGTCCATTTTGGTTCTTCGAGTTTTAGTTTGAACCTGCCGTGGTCCATTTTGGTCCTTCGAGTTTTTGTTTGAACCTGCCGTGGTTCATTCTGCCGTTGTACACTTTGGTACTTCGAGCTTTAATAGTAACTGGCATTTAAATTCGCAGTCCTCTTTTCTCCCTAGGTAGGAACGATATTGACTGACAGACATTTTGACGTACAGTGGGCTAGCGTAATCAACAAGCGCTATTTTGAATGCACAATGATTGCACATTAAAGTACCATAGCGCTTAACTGACATCGAGCGGTAGCGGTTCGGGCGCCGGCCTCCCACCAGCGGTACTCACCGGCAGCTTGAGAAGTCGCAGTATACCGTTTGGAGGAAATAGAATACAGTTAAGCGTTGATTTATACATAGAATAGGGAAGATAAAGTGATAAAAAAGTACGCCAAAGCTCACAAACAGATTTCACCATCTCGTGAACATAGAGGCTATACAGCTACTAGACAATACAAATATAGTACGTTGACTACAAAAGTAAACCTTTTAAGTTAGTGTAGTTAAGTTGTAGAATAAACTAAATACTAATGCCAGTGTTAATTAGACTATGATACATAAACTAAGTGTCTTTTTCTTAACTAGTTGTATAAGATATTTTGTAGATGGACAATTTTTTTTATAATAGCAAGTGACAGGACGCACAGGTCGTGCATGTGGTGGTAAACGACACACCTATCCATACCAGTTGCAGCGCCATTCAGGGCTTTAAACCGCAAAGATCTTACGTTCACTGCCACTGTGCCCTTCACCCTGAGACATAAGTTGACAAGGCCCATGTGCATGTAATTTCACCAGCACCCTTACCCTTCCAAATCGAAGCGCAGCAAAACTAGAGCTCCTTGTGAGAGAGTTCATCCAGAGACGTACTGCCACCTTATCTATTTCTGCGGCCAAGCCGTAATGTGAGCATTACTACATAAGACTTGTCAACTTATGTCTCAGAGTGATTGTCGAGTGGTACTGCAACTGTTATGGACAGGTGTATCGCTTACAACCAGGCGCACGACTTATTCGTCCTATCACTTGGTATTATAAAAAAAAATGTGCAACCGACCCACACAGTGATTAAATCCTGACGACAAGCCCAATGTCCATAAAACAAACTTACCAACCGAAAATTGCTTGTAACTGTTTGGTAGTCCAGCGGCAGAGTAATTCACCACACTGTTCCTGGATTTGATACAACCCTGACCGCTGTTCATGACAAGACTCGTACAGAAACACCCATCGCACTTGCAGTACAGGACTTGCAGACTGTAGATATTTGCCTCTCTCAATCTCACTCAACTCATCTGACATGGTGCCCTGCCGACTACCATTTTTTCCGCAATTTGGATAATTATCTTGTATACAAATACTCAATTATGAAGTCCCGTGAAGCAGTTCAATATAAAGTCTAAACCAATGTGGATTCTCCTTTTCAATTTTCTTCGAGGATGGGATAAATGAGCTTTCAGCAAGATGACAGATGAGTAAATTTATTAAATAATTATATCTTATATAAAACGACAATATCATTCGTTATTTCCATTATATTTAAGAAAAAAATTGTAGCTTATTTACTATAAAATCGTGAACTTGGCAAGTTTTCGCACATGCGTCATACTTTTATTTGACAATGCTACGGTAAATTTTATCATAATATTAGATTTGTAGATAAATTACGTTCCCATTTATAATAAAATAAATGACATGTATGTGAATCTTGCCAAGCTGTGTTCTCATCTAGTAGAATTAATGAGTAGAATTATAATTGTAAGTCAATGAGTAGAATGCATTTTTCTCGTATCACAATATACTTGTTTTTCTCGGATTTGTATTTAGAATTATTGAGACAATTTAAAAAAGTTTAAGATTTTGCCGTAAGCAAGCAATAACCATAACTTTATTTTTAAACATTTGAAATGATCGAGATATCACGCTTAGAGAAAAAA